AACGAGCTGCTGCTCTCTTCTCTTCGAAATTTGCCTTTATTTCTTCCGTGCACACCTGCGCAAGTCCGTACATTTGTTGGTGATTTCCTGCAGCTCGCGTGATTTGAAGAGTCGTTGTCTTCCCTCCCCTGCTCTTCCTTCCATCATGAATACTATTCCGTTTCTGGAGATTTCGCAAGTTTGGAAGACGGATTAAGTACATAAGTTCGACTCTCAATCTATTTATAATGGCATGGCTTTGAATCAATTATGTAAGACTTTTACAAAACCTGTTACCAAGATGATAAATAAGTAAATTTTTATTCGGCTTATGTTTTGGCTTTATCGCCTTCTTCAGAATCTGGAAACTCAGAGGTAATTGCTATCCATCCCTTATTCAAAGATTAAAACTTCAAAAAACTTTTCCCTACACCCAGTGATTCTAAACAGAAACGATAACTACAAACACTTTTTAATCAACCGGTCTTCTGTCTACCGCCGCTAAACTTACTTGTAGGGCCTTGTGAAGGGCTTTAGATGATATGCCCTCTCCCTCTCGCTGTGATACCGGGTTAAACAAAACCTGCAAAGGTCGGAAAAAGGCGCGAGTTCACCGAATGTGGCTGGGCAATCCTCCTTCACTCCTTTTCTGGGGACCTGGCGCTGATGAAGAATGCATCATCTTTTGAACTGCTCTGCCGTACAGGTTTGTTATGGCTGAAACGCTTTATTGGTCAACGTTTCGACTGAATAGTTGTCGTCAGGACCTGAAAATAGGCCGAAGCTCCCGGCCTGTGACCCACGCGACCAAGCACCCTCCATACGCGCTAGGCTATTCGCAACAATTCCCGGAAACGCAAACTTCGGAGAATTTCTGGCAAAGTGACCAACCTTCTGCGGTTCCACCGGCTCCCACTCTATGTGAACAACAGGGGACCAATGGCTGCTTTCATAGTTCTAAGAGCTGATACTCTAAAGTATTCAAAATGTTTCAATTCATGCTACACTATGCACTCGAGTTCCATCCGAAAAGTAATTGCATGTACATGGGATGCACGCCTTAGGGTTTCATCACGGGTTGACCCTCATATCATTCGATAGCATTTTTCACGGGAAATCTGACAGTGTGCGATTCATCTGCAAAAAGGCCGATAGAAAGGGAAATGATTAATGATTTAATATTTAGGATTCAATGATTTGGGCCTGACTATGTTAGAAGTTGGGGCTATAACAAGGAAGAAATTTTGATCTAGGCTAAGGTGTACCATAATAGTTTTGCAGAGAACAAAGAGTTGCCCACGATAATACAGCGCCTCAACGCTACCTCCTCAAATCTTGTAGATAAATACCTCCAAAGTTTGGAAAATGTCAAAAAATTGACTCAATTATTTTGCCGTAGAATGGTGTCATATTCTCAGTGGAACCTGTAAGGAGGAGTATTGGGTACAGAGACTGTAGATGCAGTCATCTACAGCCTCCACATTAGAAATGAACGATGGAGACTGAACAAAACCGATCAATCATTTTCACATTGTATTGAGTAAAGTGAAGTACGTGGCGCAATCTAAATCCAATTCTGAACACATCTTCAGGGACCAATCAGCCCCTACAAGCGCTAAAGCGTGCACCCCATGTACAATACATGCAAATACTTTTCGGATGGAACTCATGCTGCTGCGCTCATGCTGCTCAAGTGCATGCTGCAGTCCGAATTGAAACATTTTTAATACTTTGAGGTATCAGCTTATAGAACTCGACGATCTGAGTCCAACAGTATCTTCATCTCCTCGATTAATCTATTCTGAAGTGACATATGGATAAAAGACGAAAAAGAATCGTGTTTGCGGTATTCGCGTAAGTTTTCGAGTTCTCACGGCGAGCACTGTACAGCTACTATATCTCTGTGGGGAATTAACGTGAGCATCTTTGCCATCATTTTCTCTTGCACCCAAAGGAGTTATACCAACAAAGTCTGATGTGACAGTCATTATTTCGTTTGTGCTTTACTGTGCCAAGACTACATCTCGTGAGCAAACGCTGAATTGGAAATTCAATGCTTTATTGTGGTTCATTGTAGAAGAACAGAACTCAAACCCTACCTGACCAACTACTATACACACCATCAAAGTGTGAATGCTTTCAAGTTATGCAAGGAAATCACTCAGTTCACCGATCGAGACGAATAGTTATGAAAAATCATGAAAAATCTACTAGAAAATTTTTGCTCGCCAACAAAATCTACGCTCTGAATGTCAGTGATAGCTCCAACTTCATTAATAAGTAAGAATACCACAAAGTACTTCCACACCATAGAGATTAACAAATAAAGAAAAAACTTTAAAATTAAGCTAACACCCACAACTATTTCGACTAGAAATATAACTCGAACATGATTCTCTAACGAGGAAATGATGTTTAAGTGAGGAGGTCGGCCATCAAATTGATGCGCACTCGACAGCATTTCTCACCTCCTTAGTAACGCCAACAGTAGAACGGCAGCCATACCAAAGAGAGCCGTGATGGAAAGCTGCAATTTTCATCAGTTGTTGCACAAAGTTTCTGAACTTCTGTACTTCTTCTGAACTAGGTCTACTATATTCATTTGCTCGTTTTTCGTGGCAAAGAAAGCAGATAAATTTCAGAAATGATGATATTATGGAAAGATCTCATGACGAATAAGGTATACTTGGAAAAACAAAGTTTGGAAAAAATACCCCTTGGTTTTCGAGGCATACGTTACAAGATTTTCCTCATTAATGCTATACCGACTTGTCCCTGATACCTACTCAGGCAGAAGAGTTCTCCGAGCTTACGCAACTGTTTACTCGACCGTGCTTTGTGATGAGAGTGGAGAAGCGAATTTCAAACATAAACCGACAACAACTTACAAGAGACAACTGGCTTTGCTGCGAAAAATGTGCGGGCGTATCAAGATAGATCTAGCAAAAGTCTTTTGATTCTTTCCCCATGAAAACACCATCGATTAATTCCTGAGCTAATAAACCAACACTGCTACACACGTGATTAAATCATAATCCAGCAAATTTTTATCCGAGGAAACCTTCACTTTCACTTCTATTCCTACTTTCTTCGGGTGCTATTTATAAACTGAGGGGCGGCTGCGAAATTAGCTGTGGGACCGCAATACCGTAACCCGCGCCGCGCTCTTGTGCTTAGTTGCAACTGGCCTGAAATTAAAAGTGAAACGAAAGCCACCAGGATGAGGAATGGATGAAAGGAAAGGAGAGCACAGCACTGAACACCTTCCTTTGAATGTACAGAAAAAGGAAGGTGTAGGGTGAGGCGCTTCACTCGACTGATTGAGCCAAAGGCAGGTCTGCTAATAAGAGCTGCTTTGAAGAAACTATTCACACTAATAGGATTTTTAGGCATTACGCCCTAGTTGAGAAATCGTTTGTGCATGTGCGGACAGATTTGTTCCTTTTAGGAGTTATCATTTATTATGAATCTTCCTCTAAAGCAACTAGGGTGTGGGCTGTGCTACCCCGGGAGTAATCATCGAGTGCCTGTCACTGCTTATACCACAACACGACTTTTGCTTTGAAAGTCCTGCATCAAACTAGCAGAAGTTTTCAGAACTTGAATACTTGTTTGTCGCCCTAACCTTACTGATTATAACCTATTATTATAACCTGCAGCTGACACCCAACACCTCCCCTTTTCTGTACATTTCCCATCCTGGTGGCTTTCATTTCACTTTAAATTTAGGCTTGCTGCAACTAAGCACATGAGCGTGGCGCGGGTTACAGTATTGCGGTCCCACAGCGATTTTCGCAGCCACCCCTCAGTTTATAAATAGCACCCATTTTTCGATATAAAGTCACATAGTGTTGAGCTTCTCTCAACAGCTCATATATGCGCCCATCTTGCTTAATGCTTTACAAAAAAATCTTCTCATTGATGACCACTCATTATTTCGTTCGATTCAATGGACACACAACACAAGAAGACTTGTGGAAGGTTCCAGGGTAGGACGCTTGTGACAAGCTGGCAGAATTGTGCTTTGTCATTTGAACATGAAAGAAAGCCGGTGAGATGTCTGCAACGAACCTGGTTGGAAGCTTGCCGAATAGCACACTTGAGTTGGTAAAAAACTGTAGATGAGTCGAATGATCAATTTGAGATTTCACTGATGTTTGTTTTTCCTGTGGTAGTCGCTTACTCCGCCTACATTGGAAGCTTCTCCTTCCAATAAAGATGTAAAAACATGGGTTCCCGTCATGGAATTTGATAGTGAGACATTACCGCATAGTGAGACATTGACGCAACAATACCTGTTAGGCCGTTAATCAATACGTAACAAGAATAATATAGATTTTCATCTAAGGGGAGTTACTTTAATAGATTCAAAACATATCATGTGGCACTCGAAATGTATTTCTGTACTACAAAGAGGCGTATTTTGCTCCAAGAATAGTTATGTTTAAGGCTAAATCAAGTTTGCGGAGTTGAGGATCAAGCTGTCGGCTTTTCCGAGGGCATGCTCTTATCCCTTACACTACCGAGACCCCGCTTGCCCTCGCCTTCTTAACACGTTGACGACAATGTCGCGCAATGGTGCGCGACAGCCAGTCTGTCTCATGAAACTATGTCGCGCAATGCTGCGCGACGGTGCATCCTTCGATTAAAATGTGTGTGCTCGTTCCGTTTTTTGTGCAGGTTTTCAATCAGAGCTCATAGGTGTCTAGAATAGTACCGGACACCTATTAAATTAATTCCAAGACAAATATTTCATTTTTATCAGCAACTAACAATCATGAATTGCTTGGAAACAATCTGGGCAACAAACTTGATTACATTTACTGCATTTTGACTTAGTTCTCTTGGCCATGCTCCTGCCTGTTGTTGCAGAGATCGAACTATAATAGCAGTCGGAGCAAAATCGTCCGTCCTTAGCCTTCGCATTTTGATCGGCTACCAGCTTCCGCTTGCGTGCTCTCGAACTGTTTGTCGGCGTGTCGTTGAAGTTCTTGTACAGCAAGTCGTCGTTCTCCTTCATCCTAGTCGTCATCTGTGATTTTAAGGTCAGGAACAACCGCAAGAGCCATATCGTCGCCATCTAAACCAACAGCAGCACCATCGTCGGTGTCGAGCAGCCAGTTGTCAAAAGTTTCGTTGAAGTCTTCCAGTTCAATATCCGGGACACTCATGATGACAAAAATAGTCCCAAGGATAATAATACTCTCAGAGATCATATTTATATACCCGTAATCCAAATTTATCACCGCCAAACTTGAAATTACCCCAAGTAGCCACAAATGTTGGGCAAAATCTAAATACTGCTGGAGGGTTCGCGAAATATTCCCTCGTACCGTTCGTTTTCAAATGCTTTTGACTGTAGTCACTCATTTTTTTGGAAAGTAACAAATTTCCAAGAAAGAAACTGTCTCCCACGGGACAGACACGAAAAAAATGCCCAGTGCCTTACTATGACTTGTTAGTATGAACAGTATCGGTTGAATTCCCATTTCATATCTGTTTCGTCGTAACTACTGATTTTCGGAAGGACGCACAAACGGGCACACAAACCGACACGCAAAATTACTGCTTTATATGTAAAGACAGTCGGAGCCCGGCTAACGCCGAGCTTTCCTCCTTCTTTAAGTTCTCGTAGTCGGCAACCGCCCCCCCCCCCCCCCAACTTTTAGAACGAATGATGCTTTTCTGAGCAAGAAATCCGACACACTTCACACAACTTTGACACAGGACCCAAAAAGAGCTAAGCTGGCATAAGCAGGGCACAGCCAGAGGTATTTAGGTGTGCCGATGCTTACGCCTACGATTAAAAATGTCAATCGGTTGCTCTTCATCTTATAGCTATGAACCATTAAAAGATTAACTGATAGGCAACCAAAGAACTGACTAGTATTCACAAATGTTATCAAGTGATAACAACACCATTATCAGATGTCGTTATCACTGGACCATCTTTCCTCCACGGGTACATCATTAGTTGAGAATCCCAAATTACTGGCGGTCGGACGAGCTTTGTCGTAAATAATACCAAAACAAAAAGTAACCTTGATCTTCCACCGAGTAACAAACTTTGCTAAGTAGCGGTCGTAATCATAAATACATCGCAAATACCACAGGCGTTAAATTCAGTTGGTAAGTGCTTCGAACAGTCGCTATCAGCTGTTATCAGTCCCTATCATCAGCCGTTACGATCTCACCATAGTCCACATCACATGCCTAACTGTCAAGGCTTCATATTAATGCCATTATTATAGCGGCCCTACTTTTTCGAGGATTTTCGTTAGCCTTTATCAGTTTTCACAGTTCCTGGCCTGGCATCAACCGTTCTCGATCCCGTCACCACTAGTGCGCCAATGTTCCGTAGTCAATACAAAACAGTTCATCATCATACGGTATCGGTAGTTATGAGCTCCCGCCACCGAGTACCTACGATCCTGTCACATTTAAATCACCTACTAAAGTTCTAAGATTCTATTACTAATAGAAAGTGCATTAAAGAACTAGTGGCTCTCGTCTTCTATGGCATTTTATCAGCTTTTATCACATGTTATCAGTTCTTGGTAACATTCTTCTATACTACCTTCCCATCCACACCTCCTAACAAAGTGCCAAGGTTTTGCCATTAACATGAAGAGCGTTACATACCTAGTTGCTCTCGCCTTATATGACTCGCTGTCAGTCCCTATCAGTTGTTATCAATCCCAGTCTCCAAACATTTGCGGTTCCTTCACATCTCACACCATCTATCAAAGTGCCATGGCTTCGCCGTTCACATGAAGGGAGTTACGGATCCTGTGTATTTTGCTTTTAAGGCTCCTTATCAGTTTCTTTATGTTGTTGTCACTTCCTATCACCTAGCATCAGCGTTCCCATCCTGATGTCTAATTCCCTTCCAAATTTGAATGCCCTAGGTCCAGTGGGACAGGATTTGTGAATTTCCGGGCAGACAAACACACACACACAAAAACACCAACAGACACACTTAGCCGATCATATAGGTAGGATAGCTCATCATCACTCACACGTACGTGTTGAGCCGGTCGGCCAGTATTAGCACTGAACCGTTGGCATATAAGCAATTAAAAAGGCGAGGGCAAGCGGGGTCTCGGTAGTGTAAGGGGTAAGGGCACTGTCCCCAACAAGGACAAGTACGGATTCGAGTCCGGTCCGAGACTGAAGTTTTGTTCATAAATCGCTAACCTTGTGAGAACACGTTCTGCGGCGATATAACAACAGTTAACAAAACATCAAGTCAAAATGAGAGGCCAACGTTTTTCGACACCTGAAGGAGCGATTGATGCGTTCAGAATGCATGTCTTGGAGATACCTCAATCAGAGTGGCAAAAGTGCCTCGACAATTGGTTCAAATGCATGCAAAAGTGCATAGATTTTGATAGGGAATACTTTGAAAAACAATTAAGCAGTTTCCAATGTTTAATATTTATTTTTGCTCTCTAATCCCGAAATATAAAGGGCAACCATTCTCCATAAAGAGCAGGCGTTGTAATATATCCCAGAAAACAATGGTTAGACTCTGATTGCCGCCAATCGCTTCGATTCTCCCACAAGCGATCTTACACCACCCTGTTGAATTTTGTGAACTCTGAACTTGAACCTTTGCTAAGTACATAAAGCCCCGTTGATTGTTTCAAATGAAAAGACGACTTATTCTCTTACCCTTCGACAGTCTAATTAACCACTTGTAAAATTATTAGGTTGTTCGGAAAGGAATGCGCGTTTGAGTTCAAAAAAATTTTTATTATATAAACGAAACTAAACAAGATCAATTCAAAAGATATTCTCCATTACTATCAATGACTTGTTGCCTACGTTTCCGCAGAGAATGGATTCTTTTCCTGCAGAACTCGGCCGGCTGCGACTCAAAGTAGTTGGACACTCTGAGTCGGACTTTTTCGCGGTTTTTGAATTTTCTCTCGGCCATGAAGTGCTGCATTGACCGGAACAGATGGTCATCGGATGGAGTCAGGTCTGGGCTGTGAGGCGGACGAGGCAGGAATTCCCAACCTCTATTCCTCAAATATTTTCCAAGGTGGTTTTCGCAACATGTGGACGAGCGTTGTCGAGGAGGAATTTTGTCGACGTCGTTTCGACACCTTGACGGCGCAGTGCTTGATCTGCGCGGTTCAAATGGTCTTCGTAAATGTACGCCGTAACCGTTTGATCCGAATTCAGGACTTCAAACTACACTCAACCTTGGCTGTTCCACAAAACACAGAGCATTACCTTTCTGCCGTGTATATCCGGATTCGGAGTGGGTTTTGAAGTGTCACCGACGTCTAACCACTGTCTTTTTCGTGTTGTGTTGTCGAAGCAGATCCATTTCCATTTTTGATGTAATAATAGAGTTGAAAAAACCGCTGTTCTTGGAGCGATGAAGGAGAATTTCGGCCATTGCCACTTGTGTTGCCTGGTTTGCGTCGCTCAGCTGGGGCGCTACCCATTTTCTACACCTGTTCGTCTTGCCAATTGGCAGCAAATGCTCATGGATGGTAGAGTTTGAGCAGCTAACATGTGTTGCCAGTTCTCGGGTGGTTTGGTGTGGATCCAAATTAATGACGGTCTTCAACACTTGGTTATCGACGAATTGAGGCCGACTTCCATGTTCTTCGTCCTCCAGGCTTTCATTACCGTTTTTGAAACGCTCATGCCATCGTCCGCACTGGCTTTCTGACAGGGCTTCTTCGCCGTATACTTCAGATTTGACATGACGAGATTCAGTAGCTGGTTTTCCTTGCTTTAAGTTGTACCACATGTAAGTCCGCAAAAGCAATTTTTGGTCAAGCACCTTTTAAGCTTTTTTTCCTCAGAAAAACAAAGTAGACATAGCCAAAAATATATCAAAAGATGCGCAATGAAAATCTTTCTAATAGACAAAGCTGTTTTGGAAAATCTCCTATAGTGGGGGAGAAATGAATGGACAAAATCAACGCGCGTTCCTTTCCGAACAACCTAATAGAATCAGATGTTCATGTTTGCCGAACATTCTACCCCGTGTACATTACTTACACCCTGCTTCGCTGCATGTCCTCACCATGAATGAATACAGCACCCGCTACCAATAATAATAAAGCTAGTCTCCTCGAGATTTTCGAGGGTATGCGACTAATGAGCGTAAAGCAGGCATAGGTCCTAGGATCAAGATCGTCGAACTCTTTCCACTATAGGATTCCAACTTTCCGTAGAATTTTGATTAGATGGAGATTGGAAAGTCATCAATAAACTTAGAAATTAAAACCAATGAGTCTACCAGAAAAAGTTGTGAGCGACCAGAGTTTGCATGCGCAAAGCATGGAGGGATGGTGCTAGTTTCTATGCACAGTTACCCGCCACGGCCACAAGGGCCGCTGTGGCGTAGTGGTAGTGCTGTCCCTTTCCAGGCGAGCGGTGTGAATTTGCTTCCGCTTGGCGTTTTTTTTTTATTGCAAAACGTGCTTTCCTCCGAACAAAAGTTCTTAAACCGTTTTTTGTTATTAAATTAGGTTAGCTCTTCGTTTCGGCTATCATTTGCGATCATCTATCCATCACCGATCACCGCACTTATTTTTAAAAATTTCTCCACGTTATAAGTGCTTGCAACTGGTAGCCGAAACAAAGCGCTAACTTAAATTAGCAACATAAAACGATTCAAGGGCTTTTATTCGATGGGAAGCACGCTTTGCAAAAACCAAAACGCCAAGAGGAAGCAAATCCCCATCGCTCGCCTGGAGAGGGAGAGCGTTACCACTCACCCATGGCGGCTTCTATGGCCGTTGGGGGCAACTTTGCATATCAATAGGCACCATCTGTTCATGCTTTGCGCATGCAAACTTTGAGCGCTAGCAACTTTTTTTAGTGGACTAAATTAGCAGTTTTAAATCTAAATTTGTTAACGACTTTCCAAATCATATCGATATACCTAGGTCTCTATCCAAAGTTCCATGGCAAGCTTAAACCATTTACTTGATAGATCTCTTCGCCATACAATATTCATGGTTATAAGACCACCTGAGAGGTAGAGATTTTACAAGTTGTAAGCCTCAATCAATCTCATGCTGCTTCCTTCTCTGCTAATATCGAACATATCAACCACTGCTGCAGCGATTGTTGAAGCTCTGAGCCCAATACGTACCCTCTGCCTTGTGTTCACCTAATAGCTGCCAGTTTTTGACAACCAACGAATACCATTCTGCGTTCGGAAGACGTTTTGCACGCAGTCAGCGATCGCCACGTAAGCATCTCGAAACATTATTGTTGATATTTCGAGAGGCCTAGTTGTGATACAATTCACAAGAACCTGGTCATAAATGGAATGCTGCCTACCTGACCTCGGAAGCTTTTGTAGCAAAAAAAAGAAAAGAGGAATGGAGCAGAGTTTACTCCTACACTTTGTAGAAGGAAAGAGAAAATCAAAAAAGAATAGATACGGAAGCCCAAGCAGGAGTAATAAGTAGTAAATGAACAATAAATTCCTAATATTCGTGAACTGTTTTTTTTTACCAGCATCTCCTTTCTCTCTTCTTCGAAAAAAAAAAAACGATATTGAAGCTTTTTCTAACCGGCATGCTCGCTTGCAAAAAATAACGACAGGGACTAATCAAAATTCATCAAAAATATCACTAATACTTGAATAATTCCATTTATAAGATGCATACCTTATCTCGAAATCGACGCTGTTCCAGTTCGTATTCTAATTGGAAAAGCCTACTCGATATTCGACCTAAATTACTTTGATCACCTTCTGGAACTAAATTTAGCGGGATCAATCTGTAAATAGTAAGTTCTAGAGAGAGATAGAAGTCTCGAAAATTACCAATCTGTCGCCGCATTAACTTCAACTCTTGTAGAGGGTTTTCCTCGACAGCAATAGAGTTTTCACTACGCACTGGCTCATCCTTAAGAAATTCGGGAATATTCAGCAATTTCAAACTAAACAAATATTACAGTAGTTCCTCCTCGGTCCAGGTAAGGACTTTCCGCTAGCGTTATCGTATGCGGCAAATCTTGAAGTTGATCCTGAAACGTTGCTAGGCTTTAATGATTGCAGGTAAAAAGGTGTTCAATGAGCAACAGTCTAAGGACACTGCACCTGAATTGAACTTTGTGTGCTAATCACATTTATTTTCTGCCTCATTCGTCAGAATAGCGCTACTGCAAGTTGAAGACACGGTTCACGATAAAAATGGTTACTGAGTTCTTCCTTCAGGAATACTTAGTGGCGCCCAAGGCAATAAGAAAGGACTTTCTCGCGCCCAAAAACTCGACGGTTCGGCCATAGTGGAAGCCTTGTTGCCGGCTCGCGCGACCGTCCCGCCCATCGATCGATGTCACGCCAGACGAGTGTCGAGGCGATACAGATTGCAGGTTTTCGCTCTATGACCCACACACAATCAGACGGTCGCCGAGTAATGAAGCGATGATTTCTTCCTATTCTCTTTTGTCCTCTATTATCCTCTCTGCTTTGCGATCCCTAACTTGATTTTCTACTCCAAGAAGCTGAGAAAGCTAGGCTATTTTTAATATTACTAGGAGTTTTTTATTAACTTTGCTTGTGAGTGAATGAATTTTCGCTTACCGTATTCAGTCATTCACACCAGGACCCACACGTACGCCATGACACACACTGTATAGCTCGTCCAAGCGCCCTACTCTTCTTCATTTGTCTGATCTCACTCTCGTCCAGCCCCCTTTTCAACGATTTTTCGAAGCTTTTTTTTCACGTTGGAAACACTGATTCGCGCAGTTTCTTTGCCTTCATCGCACTACATAATCTGGATTCCCCAGAATTATCGTGAACTATGCCTCTAACCATATTCTCACACACACATTAGTCGCTATCAGACCCCTCCCTTACACTTTAACATTTACATCCGGTTTACTACTCTTAACTACTAGGAGCTTTTTGACAGCTTACAGATGAAACTTCATAAGCCATTGGTCGTCAACGCCCCAGCTCTTTGTTTTATCATCACCTCGACGGCAACTTATGCGGCAAAATATTTATGTCGATCAACTCATGTATGTTACCAAACTTCTTGATAACAGTTATTTGTTGACTTAATTCGAGTTGTCTAGCACATAACTGAAACTATGACTATGTGCTAAATCTCGAAGGTTGTGTTCCATAATATACAACTATTCGGAATTTCGAGGCTTTCACAAAAGAGCGCTTCTGCAATACCTATTTTGCTAAGACTGGTTTATATCCTTTATACTATTCAGAAGAAATGGATTCACTGCAGCAGCAAGCATCAGTTACATATGATCATTTCAAGTTATATGTGTACAAACTGCAAGCTAACGACCCTCCCAAGACTTGAGCGGCCTTGAAGGCAGACACACACTTGACGTATTCACTAATTTACGGAGGCCGACAGATATACAAGTCAGTGCGCTCATCTTTTCCAATAAGTTGGTCCCAACTACTGTAGAGGGAGGATGCTAGGCTATCATTCCCCTATCTTATCCTCGAACCATAAAGGTTTGAGTGCCGTCAACGGGCGCTTTCAGAGAGCAACGACCGACGGTATTGTTGGATACATGTTGACAACATTGGACGCCCATGTATCACGCATCCCCATACTAACGCGGCCTTGAACCCAATCTGTCCACTGTTGTCAACACGTGGCCAACAACACCGTTAGTCGGTCGATCGGTCGGTTGGTCGGTCGTTCCACTCTGAAAGCACCCACTCAGCAGTGGCCGCCTCATCTTGGAACTTGAGACTGAAAATGAAATGTGAGAAAAACAAGAAGATTTAAACAAATGACTAAAAATGCTTCGTCTCGCTCTGATGGTAGGAAAAGGAGTGTGGTGTTCTGATGGAAATTGTCTATGAACGAGCCGTCAGCAAACATCCAGTGTGCCCACCGAACCCCTGACGACTGCAAGTGAGTGATGATCCTCTTGGCGCTATTGCAGAGTTCAGTGAATCTGATGCGATTATAGCATAGAGTAAGCGTAAAATACTAAGCGTAATAATCTATACATGTACATGTAGTAGCAAAAAAGCAACCGTCCACAATCCCACATGAAACCCTGACTTCCAGCCTAGCCAAAACTTGTCCGACACATCTTCCACTGTCACAAAGCGCTCAATGTCGCAGGGAGGGAGGTGGAGAGAGAATGACCAGCACATACATTTCACAGTCACAGAGCCGTTGTTGTTCGAGGATGGAGTGACTAACCAATTAATCATTCCCTGCAACTTGTTTGGTCGAGGTTGATTCATAGTTGTTGCAGTCTTTCAAGCGATACCGTTGATCGCGACATTCACTCACAAGAAAGAATAGCGAAACTTAAGAAGGATGGGTTTCATAAGATACTACAAAGCTATTTATCAATGTGAAGTTTTTATGCAGTTGTTCCGTTGACATTGCAAGAAAGCTCGACTCCTACTTCTCTCCATATTTTTTGACTGCCAACCAGTAACAATCCTCGCCGAACTACATCACACTAATCCCTCAATACCCTTCCCTTTCACCTCCGTCTGTCAAGTGAAAGAATGAAGGCTTCTTAATTGATGAAACTCTTTCTTTCGATCCGACTCGTATATCCGTTCATATTTCCAATTTTGATAAGAGAGCGCACTGGCGGAGAAAGGGACAACAAGCGAACACGTCCTTCTTCCGCTAGTGAATAGGGCACGCAGGGTCTGCCTCCCATCTGATTTTCTCAGCGAGAAAAATTTTGGTTAACCCTTTGACGACATTGGCGCCCACCGGTGGGTGTCGCTTTGACTGGCGCATGGGACATTGGCACCCAATTTTGGATGCCACCATACTTTCTTGTTTCTTGCCAATTGCGAAATTCAGTAAGCCAGTGAAAGAATTTTTTTCTGGGCAGTGCCACCCACCTGTGGGTGCTAGTCGCGGGCGAAAGGAGGGGAGCGTGGTCCTTTGGGTGCGACACATCGAAATCCGCATTGTCGTCAAAGGGTTAACAACAACCCTGTAACCAAAGTGTACCGTTAATACCCAATTCCGAGCTGATTCCGTGGCAACTCATGGACACGATGCCACCGTTCATCGCGGATTATGTCCGAGAGCATGATCGTATAAAAGGTCAGTTAAAATGACGGGCACTTGAAGCACTGTACTAGTGATTATTTTTATAATGGAAATGGCACGAACCTTGCTTATGTGATTAATATGATCATCCATAAGTTCTGATGGTTGGGCATCGAAACCCTCGTAACTATCGCCTCCCTTCAAAACGATTCGATCCGGTACATTCATCATCTGCATGAGGCGTTCTTTTTGGGGAACGTCTTGATTCTAAAAATCCAACACATGTGATCGTAAGAAATGAAGTACATGAAGGTGAACTAACCTCGAAACCCAAACTTTTTAATGGTTCCCCGGTAACTGAAATGTGCTCGGGCACGATCATGGACCTGAAACGCTCAGAAAAATGGGGAAGAAAGGAGTAGTCTCTAAGTTTTCAAAGCGGAAGAAGTATATAGCAATCAGAAGCTCGCGCGTAAAACTCCAAACTGAAGTTGGTGATCATTTAAGATTTGCATCCTTCTGAAATGTGTTTTATCATGGTGAAACTTGCTCGCCAATTTTCCCGATGTACCGTTGTAGCTTGTAATTCCTAACAGTTTCAATGAGAGAGAATAAAAATAGGGAACAAAAGCACAAAAACTAAAAATAGGGAACAAAGACACAAACGACTAACATTTGCCTTTTTCAAGCTCAGTCGGACTTGCAAAGAAGGAATACAGCAGGGTGATGAGAAATCGGATTACTCAGAAAGGGTTCATTTGAATCAAGTCAAACAACATGGTTGCAGGGCTGTTGTCAACCAGAATTTCTCTCGCTGAGAGAATCAGACGGCGAAGTCGTATCCACCAGCGGAAGGAGGGCGTGTCCGCTCGTTGTCCGTCGCACTCTCCTCGAGGGCGTTCTCTCGTTAAGAGTGATCACTTGGAGGCATTTGGGCTACTTCAACTCGGTCCCTTTGATCGTGGCGACCGCGCCTATTTTTCTGCCCTCGTCTGTCGCACTCCCGTTTGATCCGCTGTGATTTAACGGTTGTGCTTGTCTGGCTATATGACCCCCGCCTGCCACCTCGTGTCCTTCACCCAAGGTATTTTCTTCAGCGCTCTAACCTTTCGCTGTCAGGGACGCAGAGAAAGTGCAAGCATTCACGTAACCTCCTTTGAAGGGGTGTAGTGCAGTTGGGCCGAAATTGTCGCGTCGCGACGGAGGAACGCCGCGCGCAAAGGAATGTAGCAATATGCAACAGCAGGTAAGAAACACAGGAAGAAATGAACTAGTAGAATCATGATAATGATCGCATATCATTTAGCTGTATGAAAAATGCTAGAACTGTAACAACGGCGAGGCGAATGGTCGCGACAGTCACGTGCGGCGAATCTATTAAAACAAAACTGATCCTACTGCCCGTCTCCGCGTTTGAAGGGGTGTACCAGTCAAGATAGGTAAAAAGAAGGCATACCAAATAAAAATGATGATTCAAACTGGTAAAAGCAAATGGAATTGGAAATGAAAATGCGTGTGATGTGCTTTGGCAAGGGTTGTTTGATTGGCACTGGATGATCAAACTTAATACTTTAAAAGAGAAACCTGATCTTTTTGCAGAATCATCTAAACAACTGTATGAGACCTTCATACTGGTAAAATATCTACGCGATATTACACAAAATCCATGTTTTTGGCTGTTCGTCAATCCTTCTTCATGCTGTGACTGAGAACTAAAACCTCGTTCAAAGGTCTACAGCACTATAGAATCGTTATAGACCTAACTGTGTAATTTACTAAAGTACTACGCATTGAATGATGGCAACCTCTTTCGTCTGCGCACTACCTCCTGAAGGTGAGGGGAACTTCTGCCCGAGTTCGCGCGGTGAACTGCAGTGGTACCCTATTCTTCGAATGGGACTCCAAATCTTTCCCCTCATAGCGTGCGACTGCGCGTGATCGGGTTCATCGAGCGCGGTGTTGCTTTCGGGGAGAAGATACCGGACCCGAAGGTATTTTGTTCCATCTTTCAACTTCGAGCCCGTACTCGTCTCAAATAGGAGTAGAGCAGTCAACTGGGGGTATTGTAATGCTGAGAATCAATTAATTACAAACCGCGAAATTGGTCCGAAGATGCACGCGGCAAATCGCGCAGCAAAATTCGTGATGATTTGGACTACTTTGGCGTCCTACGACCGACCGACTGATGGAGGTGCTAGCCACGTGCTGACAACACTGGACAGACTGCGTTCAAGGCCATATGGGTGATTCTGGGTGTGATGCGATTCACGCGTCTGGTGTTGTCAGCAGGTGGCCAGGGTCGCGGTCGGACGTTGAACCCTGAAAGGACCCATTGGGAAATTCGAAGAATTGAGAATTGCGTTCAGAGTAATCTGAAGTTGCTGATTGAGGAAATCAAAGAACCTAGTACCCGAAGCAAATGTAGAGGCAAGACAAACAAATCTAATATTCGTTACTTTTGGGAGTTTTCATTCTACTTTTTACTCTAGTTCTTTCACACCACTACCTTCGTGATCGATATCTTATGCTCTGTGCAGACACATCATTCGGAGAACAATCGGACGTGGACGATCGTATACTACGCAAAGGAAGGCAGTGTACTTTGGACATTGGACATACTTGCTCCATGGGCAAGCGCTCTCATTCACTAACGAGTAAATAGTCCGTTTGTGGTACAACTAGCGTGATTATTTTTGTTCTTCCTCGAGCTTAGTTCTTTACTCTAATGGAATTGAGAATGACGAGCAGTTTTGAACTGAACAATTGCCATAATGCATTATTCCCGTGCGAATTTGCTTGTTTTCTAAAGTTTCAATCATGCTGAGTCAACATTATGCGTGTTAGAGTCCCCAGAAATGAATATGTGTATAATTTAACCTAATCTAACCACTCCCCGTGAAGATAGTCTGGCTGCGCAGCGCCCATTACAACGAAAACATCTAACTACCGCACATTACCCGTGACGGTGATGATTTAACCATTCTCACTGGTAACAGTGGTGATGATGCGTATTGGTATCCATTGTGATGAACAAGATCTGTTAACGTTCCATATGCTATTGATGTGGCTATGTTATCCATGTTCCTCGTAAAAGGTTGAACGATTGACCACGTTTAGTTGCTGCCAGAACCCGCAATTTGACTTATTTTCGTGCGCGAGGAGTTTTGAAGGCAGTAATGCACGACTTTACAACACTCACTGCTACTTCTCCACCTTCGTTTCCTCTAGTCTTCACCGAAATGGCAATTGCAACTTTTCTGGTTTTGTGCTTATTCTGCTCTTACAAGCGGCTCTTTGCTAATTTGGTCACCGGTAAGCGCTGTGGGTGAGCGAGCTCACGAGATTTGCATCTGTTTTTCGCGAACACTGGACAACCCAGGAGGGCTGCAACTACTTCTTGCCGAAGCTTTCTTGTAAAAATCTTGTTGTTGTCTTGTTTTCCTTATAAGTTCCAGTTATCTTTGCTTTGCCTTTACTCATTATAATTTGTCTACACTTTTTGTTTCTTTTATTGAGATTCAGATGAACTGCGCATAGTTATTGTCTAACATTTTGCAAACCTCACATTCTACTTCATTTTATGCAAATTATGCAATACTTGTAAATTTCTAGATTAGCGGAAGATTTTATTGAGATAACAAGAAAAAAATCTCGAAGAGTTAAGAAGTACCTACCCCGTCACTTTTGTGAGGAAAGTGCACATCACTCTTACTCGAGTATGTGGACGAACGTGCGTCCGAGGATGCGCGCGGTAAATTGCGCGACTAAGTTCGTAATGATTTGAACGACTTTAGCGCCCATCATTGGGGGTCCAAATTTGAAGTAGATCAGAAGGATCACCTGACCCTTCTAAATTACTCTACTTCGAGTTTGTGCCCCGAAAATTGGCGTCATAGTCGTTCAAATCGTTACGAACTTCCCCGCGCAAGTTGCCGCGCGCGCCCTCGGACGCACGTGGTGCACGATCCCCCTCCTACTCATTGGAGGGATTTTATCGTCCCGTGAATGTGTGACACCGTAACCATCTAGTACCCCGCCATCCACCTCCGTGGATACTTCACCCGGGGTACCTTTCCTTTGCGTCGTATATGTGACGGGTGTTTTGGAAGCGCTTGTGTTTGGGTTACTGTGTCACACATTCACGGGACGATTAAATCCATCTTGTCTCCTACTCCTGCATCTCTTTCATGCATACATCACATGGCTCTCGCCTTCCATGGCTTGTTATCAGTCTCTAGCAGTTGTTATAAATCCTTATCAATAACATCTACGGTCCCTTCTCAATAAACTTTACTGAAGTGCCTAGGCTCCACCGTTAACACGAAGGAGGTAACGGATTCTGCGGCTCCCGCCTACTAAGAAGCTTTATCAGCTCCTTCAAATTGCTATGACTTCATCACACATCATCAGTGTTTCTGTGGCTTTTACTCCTACCAGTTTCTACGCTCTAGGTAGAGGTGTACAGCAGTTGTGAGTATGCGGGCAAAAGCTTCTACTGCACACGCCCCGCCCCCTATAGGCGTGGTTTAGCCCTGCTACTTCCATGAGTGTTCCCATCCTACCTCCTGTACTCCTTCCAAGTTTGAACGCTCTCAATGCACGGGAACAAGAGTTATGAGCCGACACCGACACACACACACCGACAAATACACACACACCGACACCCACCGAGACACACGCACACCGGTACACACATCCCGACACACACGCCGACACCCACACAAACACACAGCGACACACGCACTCACGCACACCGACACACACACACACACACACACACACACACACACACAC